TTTCCTGGCCAAAGCAGGTGTCCCTAGTTCAGTGCTGCCCTAGGCTGGCCTGGAAAAATGCCAGTAGTGGTTGAATACTAACCAGACGTCTCCTTATTCACACAAGCGCGGGTGGCACAGATGCTCCCAGCGATGCTAGAATGTGTAGTCTTTGCCGTAAGGATGTGGAGGGAGGCTCCCAAGGTCCGGCAGGTAAGTGGCATTCTCATCCAGGTGAGAAAGAGGCACTGTGTCCTCCTCACTGATCTGCCGGTCAAACTCTGCCTTCAGCGTTGGCCGCTGGTTTTCGGGGAAGGCCAGTGAGAACAGGGCTTCAGGCTCGCAGACAAACTTGTACACGTAGCGCTCTCCAGCCACCTGCGGGGAAGACGGGAGGGAGACACTGCAGGCACATGGGCCTTAGGCGGTGCTCCTCAGCAGTGGAGGAGGGTTGCTCAAACATCTGGCTGCTCTAGCCCATCGCCCTGAGACTCGGAGTTGTAAACTTCTCCCTGTGCTGTCTCTAGCCCATCGCCCTGAGACTCGGAGTTGTAAACTTCTCCCTGTGCTGTCCTCCCGCTGCTCTGGTCTCCCTGGGAGAAATGGGATGCTGCCAGCTGACTCTGTCCAGGTAGCAACAGCATCAAAAGTCCCTGACCAGTCTGTACTGTGACATAATTACACTCACAGTTGATCCTCTCAGCATCCTGGATCTGGAAGAGACCACTAATACCATACAGGATCAACCCCCAAGCAGCCTTTCTCTCACCACCACCAAGTCTAGACTGATGCTGTGTCCTTGGAGCTGCATAAATTCCAACTCTCCCTACTGCAGACATACACAGAAAAGGAAAGCAGTCATAATTCCCCTTTGATTTCCCACATGTTGCCTATGTTCATCTCCTTTGCACCTTCCTCATTTACCTGCTGCAAAGAGCAGTTGTGAGCAAGCGCAGAATGCCTGGCTGGCTCAAGTATGTCCTGTACATGTAAGACTGCCTGTCTCAAACAAAAGAAGCATCACTAAAGGCATAAAAACTCCATCTGCTTTGCAAACTGACCTTCTGCATGATGCCTTTCTCATAATAGTAGCGAAGGGATCGGCTCAGCTTGTCATAATTCATGGCTGGACGGTTCTTTTGGATCCCCCACAGCCTGGCTACCTGTAGAATAAAGCATCAAGGTGTGTGAATGTTTGTGAACCCAAGCCAAGGGCAGAGGACACGAGCCACCCGATTCTCTTCTGAGGAAGAGTACCACTACACATACAAACATTTACAACATTTAAATAGTAGACTCAATAATCATTTAGCAGCTTCTCAACAAGAAGAGTGGAACTCAGCCTGAAGCACCCGGGATCAGAGGGGCTTTCTCCTTGCCACTAGAGCACATTTGCTGTCACCACATCTCCTCACTCCCCAGTACTCCGAAAGCTTGAGGATGCTAAAGGATGGCTTCATTCTGTGCTACACCTTGTCTTTAAGGGTCATGTGTCCTCCAGGAGCCCAATTACGGGGGAACACATCCTTTGGAAGACCCATGTGCCTTTCTTCCTCCTACTACGTGATTTTCAGCTTTGTCAGTAAGACTCAGAAATCTGTTGTGAGCATGTGTGAGCCCACCAAAGCAACTCATCTGCACTGAAAGTGCCTGTAAAGGTTCATTTATAGCAAGAACAGCTCGACTGGGAGCAAGATAAGCGCAGATGTTATGGCCACGTCTCCCAGATGTTGTCAGATATCACTGGGAATTTTTGAAACCGGCACAAATTGCACCTTAGTTTGATATAAAAATATGTTTAGACTAGGATGTGGTTTCTCCAGATTTCTGTGAAAACTTGTGTGATCAGTAGGGTTCAAAACTCCATACCTCAATGTCACCCCAAGTACGGAGCATGACGAGACAGCACAAGTTACTGCAAGCAGCGAGTGCAGTGTCTAGGGAAGCGGGGGCAGTGGGTATTGGACTCACTGCGTTGCTGAGACTCTAAACTTA